GCCAAGAGTGATACCATATATGCCCCATAGCTGCAGAAAAGGCTAACATTGTTATCTTTTTACAAAAAAACAGCTGAACATGAAAGGTTTTTGGACCATATTTTGTTTTCTCCATTTTTTAACACCGGTTTGAGCACCGTTTAAGCACCGGCACCGTTTCAAAAGTACCGGTTTGGCACCGGTATCGGATAAAACCTAAACGATACCCATCCCTAGTTCTGTATGACTGCAATAGCTAATGAGTGTAACAAATGAAGTAAACGACTGAACAAAGAAGAGGACTGACACATTTTAAAAGTATATCTTAATATAAATATTTTATTCAGTGCATTTTTGTGTATACAACAAATAATAAACAACTGGAAGTTATCAGACAGCCACGATGTCCGCCTGTATATGTTGTTTTATCAGAGTATCTGTCTGGTAGTTGGGAACACATGATCCAACATGGGTTAATACACATAGCCTACATCATGCAGCTCTAGACCAGAATTTCCCTGCCTTCTCCCATGCAACAGATAGGTTCACCTAATAAAGACCACCTCCAGAGGAAATCAAGAGAAGAAAGTCTCCCAGAAGCATGTACCAGAAGGAAGTTATGCAGCAGAAGGGAAGCGTACATAGCCCACAAAAGGGTCCTTTTTGTACATATGTGTTTGTACATGCCCAGTGCAAGAAAGGGAAGATGTTCATTTTTGTATGACTTTATCTTTTTTTTTTCTTCACTTTTACAAATATGACGTGTCCTATAAAATGTTAAGCCACCTAAAAGTCCACAGTATTTTTTTTTTTAATATAGAAAATATTGTCACCACAATAAGTTACTCAAACACATAACAAGCATCCTGGGAAGGGTCATTCACCATCCTATGGTGAAGCGTATCAGTCAATAGAAGTCGACAAAAAAGGATGGTTGGGGTTTCGAAGTATGACACAAGCACAAAGGGAGGAACCGATTACGAGGACAAGAGCTAGAGACATTGTGACACTGTGGTAACAGAAGGGAATGGGGACACAGGATAGTCGTTTCATACCTCAGTCATCGAGTGTATCATCAAAAAGCACGTCAAGCACGCTGCCAACTCCAAAGTGGTTAAAATCACTTCCTTTGCCTTTCTTTTTTTCTTTTTTCCACAAACCTTTGCTTTCTCTCATCAAAAATGTACAATAAAAAAAACAAAAAGATCCAGCTTTGCTTTTATACTGACTTGGCTTTCAGCGGCTTAAAGGGACACTCTTTTTCTGTCTTTGGTTTGCTGGAACCATTTTTTCATTAATGAACAAAGATGCAAATGCTTAACGATGGCAAGGGAAGAGAACAAGAAGGAACATAATCAGTTCTTAAACAAAATCTCACAGCTAATTCAGAAAATTAGCAAAAACTAAGGTGCAGCTGTGGCATCTCCAAATTTTAAAAAAATAAAATAAAAGGAAAAGATAAAACTGCAAGAGAGCCACACTGCCCCTTATATCTCAGGTCAGTTGTACATAGGCTTCATTTTCCCATGCTAGAGAGCTCAGTCTCTGAGCGTGTGCACTAGGACGCAGGAGAGCTACCATCTGGCTGGCCACAGTCTCAGTAGCACTAGGCTGTACCATACCAGGGAGTTTATAGGCTTTGTATTCACAGAAGCATGGATGAGACAGAGATCAGGGCTTGTACGGTACCACTGCAACCTTGTAGACCAGCACCATTACTGACTGCCCTGAACACCTGCATGTCTAACTTCCCGTCCCTGTCTAACAGATGCACGCGGGCTTGGTGTCTGCATGAAGAAAACTTACTGTGCACAGTAAAGTAATTACCAAAATAAGATAAAAATGAGCTAACTGGTATGCAATCATCACAAAAATAGAGTGTCTAAGGTCGTCAATAAACCTCAAGCCCAAAAAATAACGTTTTAATCAGTTCCTTAAGTCCAGAATGATCTATGTGCTGTTAAGTTTCTTACTGTTGATACTGTTTTGATGATGACCGACCAGGATGACAGGTGCTTTTGATTGACGGTGTCTGGTTGTTTATGTGTGATTTGTTGTCCTAGCTAGTCCTGAACCGCTGATCGGAGAAACAAGTCTGCTTGGATTCATGCTCTGCTAGAGGTAAGGTTTCACGGTTCGGCCCCAGGCCTGGGTTGGGCTACCAGGCTACGTTGATTCGTTCTGGCTCACAGCTTTCCCTCCGTTGAGGACTGCTGAGGCACTCCGACTCTTGGTGGGTGTGCCACTGCCAGAGCGGGAGAACTCTGTCAAGTCGTGGAGAGATGGCTCTCTGTACATTGCAACTGTGGAAACACAAGAAAAATGCAAATCAGGCAAACTGACACGTTTTAACAATATTAGTGAAAGAGGCAGCGTTTTGTCCACTGGTTAAATGTCTGTTTAACCAGTTGTAACCATTATATTTCCAGATCAAAATACTGCCGAACATACTAATTTCATGAGATGTTATCTGTCTCACTTGTCACCATGCTGGATTACATCATCCATTACGGCAATTAGCCTAAAAAAAGAGAGCTACCACAGCTGAATTACTGTCTCAGGCAGTAATAGGTGGCAGCTAGGGAGGATAGCAAAGTTTAATTGTTTAGTCAGCTTATTAATCAGATCATAAGCTATAATTACTTCTCTCACCAGAAATACAAAACTTGTCTTTTTTCATTACTTTCAAACATAAATATCATCATGTACCCAGGAAAAAACAGATAATATCTATGCATAACATGTTACTGTTCCTGTGCTGTTTGTTTTCTGTGATCTCACCGCAGTTGTTCTTGCCATGCTTGACAATTGTTTTTGCACTATTTTAGCACATAAACATTAAAATTTGATAAATAAAGAGATTTACATTTTAAAAACCTGAGTCAGTTGATTAATGGTTCAAAATGAGCTCAAGTATCGCTAAGAGACCGTCCTTCTGCACACACATAAAACTACCTGCTATATTATTGTTTGAATGACAAAATAATGTATTTATTTGTCTTAGTCTTTTCTATGCATTAAAAACCCGTTCATCTAATATTGTGTGACGTTATGGAAGATTGCTCTCAGCTTATCTGTCCTAGTACTTTTTGGCACCGCGTTATAGTTCCCTCCAAACTGCTGAATCAAGTAGACCCTGTTGGTGCTGAAGTAAAAAGAAAAATCTTATATTCACAGCATGACATTATAAATTCAAGAGTTTCTAGTGCTTCAGCTTTGCTGTGTGTGCAGCACTGGTCCAGTCTGCATTTAACAGCACCTTTTTCAGGAGAAATATCAGTAATCTGAGGTTCGTAGTCTTTGGTTTCAGGATGTTGTCAACATCCTTCTGCCTAGCATGCTATTTGATGTTCATTCCTCAGGGAGTTTGTGGCTGAAACAGCAAACCCAATCCTTCAGACACTTTACTTAGTCCAGCATTTTTTGTGTCAGCGGCAATCCAGTGCCCATCCTTGTATAAAAACATAAATCATTGGGAGGATTCGGTTGGGAAACTGCTGATTGGTTCCAGTCTTGTTTGTAACAGCAGGCTATTCTGTTATTACAGTGATAAGTGACTGACCTCAACATTACGGTACTAGATCATTGCTATCCTCAACACCTCTGCTATTTTATGTATTTAAACCCAGAACTGACCATATTGTCATTTTTCACATTTCTCCAAACAAATCACCTAGTAGATGCTACTCCACATAAAAGCAGGTGTTTGCTTCACGTATCAGGAGGTTTTGGGAGAGTTTTAAGAGGTTTTTCCACTTGGACTTGAAATGACATGAGCTAAACTCGCTACATCCAGAAGAACACAGTACGAGAGGCTGTAGGCTGAGGCTCACAGAGTGCAACCAGAAGAGCAGTGAGTAATGTCTGAAAGAGATGTCATCGCCAGTGTTGAGACAGATTCTTAATTGGCGCCCTGTAACACTTCTCCCTCTGAATGATTTCAGAGGGAATGATTCTCCAGTGCAAAGTTATTTCCAATCAACTCGCTACATCTGAAATTCAAATGAAGATTTAATAAATATTGTGCACTACAGGATCCTTTAAAGTTTGTACACAAGAAGGAGTATTACAATAGTGTCTCCTATTATATTTGCTATTGAAGAAAAGAAAAAAAAAACTATATTTCCTCTCCAAGTTAAAATGCAGCCGCAGTCGATAGTTTTCGGTATCAGTTACAATTACTGTGTCACATAGCCTCGATCTATCCTCGTTATTCAATTCTTCTCTTTCTCTGTATTTGTCTGTCAGCATAAAGCAAGCCAGTCATTCACCAGCTATTTCTCTTCAGTGTGTTTGAGACCCTCTGGATGGCCTGTTAAATGAAGGTGAAAAGCTATTATCGTGATCTCAGAGGGCAAATACGGGTTCTTAATAAGATGCTGGCTGGGGAAGCTTCCCTAAAGACACAAGAAGGGGCACCATCGATTCAGCAAATAGAAGAAATGAAAAAATTAACTCTAAACTGGAATATAAAGCACTCTACTGCAGCTGAAATACTGAACAAAATTCCTCATATACTACCAAGGTGTTCTTTTGTGTTAAGATGAGGGATGTGGCCAGGAATATGGGATGTTTTATGATTTGGTTCTTTATTGCCATTACAAACGTAATATTTTAGGGGGGGATTTAACGTGGGTGAGTGGCAGATTTGACCCCAGGCATCTGCAATAGCCCTATAGCTTATAGGTCACCTGCTCAACCCAATAAGGTACACCAGCACCCGAGTGATGGCCAACTTTATGCTGTCTATGATTGCATAATAACAATAACAACTTCCTCAAAGCAAGCAAATGCTTGTAAAAATCTTCCTCATTCAGTCACTTTTGTCAGTTATTTGCAAAGTTTACATTGTGTGACAATCGAATTGTTCGAAGTGAAGAATACGGCCAGCGAAAGTACGTTCCAAGGACATGTACTTGGATAATTAAGCAGAGTTTAAGAGCCAAACAAACTTTCACACGACTGTATTCTGACAGAGACAATGTTTAGCAGGTGAAAAAGGACAATTAGAAACATTTTGTCTTGTTGCTGTTGCTAGCTATTATTACTGGACAAAAACCTTTTTGTAAAGTGTCAGGTTGTCTACAAAAATAAAAAATAAAAATGAAAAATGTCAAAGCAGAATCCCAATTTGGCTGAAAACACAGAAAAATGAAATTTTCAGTCAAAGTCAAGCTTCAACATTCCAACCAGTTTCTTGGTCTTTCGCTTTCAAATGTGTACTCAGCTGAAGTGAAAATAAACGGAACTGTGAAAATTTCTACTTTACAGGAACAAAGACCTGCTATTACATCAGAATATGCCAAATAACTGTGTTTCATGTGCAACCATCTGATGTGCCACAATCTCAAACATGGAATTTGAGCTGCAAAGCAAAGATGAGTTCAAGACTAAGCACAACAACCTACCTCTTCTCCAGTTCTACAAACTATGTATGAATATGAACAATTTCCCCATTTTGAGGAGGTGGTTCGGAACCAATCTGAACCAAGTTCAAGCTGCAATTATCATCATCAGTACTACCATCACACTTCAGACACCCACCCAAAAAAAGGTTGGTCCAGCCACTGCATTGCAGAGACTAGTGTGAAATACAATATGTGGGGAATATCTGGCTTTTGAAGTATGTTACAAAAATTGAAATGCCTCTTAATAGGAAAAAACACTACCATTGATTTAATATTCAATCTAAGTTCTTCAACTGTACAGGAAAAAGAAATATGTGTCACAACATAATTTTAATAATTTTTTTCCAAAACAGCCAGTGTAAAACCAACCACGTACCACATTTAATGCAATATAATGCTAACGTATTAACGTAAGTTTGACATGCTGCCATGTTTATGACAGTTTTATGAGTTATGTTGGTAAAATGAATGTTAAACTGTCATAGCAATTTCTCAAATGACTGCAATTTTGTTTTAAAAATTCACAACTGCGTCAGTGACACTTAATAACAAGAGCTGTAAACATTCAGCGAGACTCCCTCATACTCAAGACTCGTGTCATAGTTTTGGCACATCCTTAAAAGTAAATTTTTATATTTAAACTTGATTATCTAAATTCAGATCATTATTTTAAAGCTCAAAAATACAGAACCAGATGACAGGATATAAACTGCACTTAACAGTCAACAATATAAAGAAACTGCCCTCTTTTCTGCATTGTTTTGAGTATTTTGCACTGCAAGCCTTTGATTTCTTACTGAGACAAAAAATGAAGACCAGGGTGTTTTTCTTTTGTCTCACTAAAAAGAAAAGAGTCTCTCTCTCTTTGTCTATCCCTCTCTCTTCTTTCTGACAGGTAAATCTGTGTCTTGTCAAAGATGAAAGGACTGTGGCCTGTTTCCTCTGTTGCTCACGGCCACATTACCACATACATATTCTTTATGGGTGGGGTTCTCAGTGAATTTACAGTCCTGCATGGGGACTGCTAGTGAAAAGTGTCAGCCTCGCTCCGCATTGTGCCTGCAATGGAGTGTGACCAGCTTGAGGAAGCTATTGAATAGGTTCATGTAAAATTCTCTGAAGAAAATGCTTAGTGTAAAGGAGCCATATAGAAAACAATGCACTTAGTTTTTAGCCAATAATATCTACAAAAAGGTCTAAAATATAAATAAAATGAAAATGGGCTAATTGAATGGGAAAACTGATACCTTTGTGAAAAGCAACCATTTTGCATAGTAGTGTTGTGTACATACTTGATTATATGCCAGTATTTTTCATTTCCAGGGAAGACTACAGTAATAATAGCTACTGTTACCTCTTACACTTTTGAATATAAGCAATTAGAACATTAATGCGACCAGGTATGAATAATACATTCCACAAACTAGTTCCTATCATATAACAGATATATTCTGAACCTTAGTATTGAAAAGTAAAAGCTCTGGAAAGGCCTACCTTTTAGAGGTTTGGGAAGAAAGTGGGCTGCTGGCTTGTTCTTCTTGACATGATTCCCCTTCATGATTTCTCCTTCCTTGTTCAGACCGAGGTACCAGCCCCTGCCCGACTGCTGCTGCCGGTATATCATGGAGGAGTATGTCACATAATAGTTCTCGAACACTGACTCCTTGAATTTGCACTCCGGTGTAAAGTGTTCCTGTCAGGGGATGAGGACAATCAGATAAACAGGTAGTTGGACAGTAGTTTACGAGATCCAACGTTAATTTAAACTATATCTATAAATGGAAGCAGATGAAATAAATAGTTAATTACTTGATAGTGAAACCTAATAAGGCTACATGTGCTGCACGTTCAAGAAGAACTGTATATTAAGTTTCAAGCATCTGCTTTAATGTGCCATGATAATCTTCTAAAATCTTCCTGTAGTGAAGAATGTAGCATAGATAACAGTGATATGACAGATATAGAAGAGCATTAATAAAACATACAGGCAGATTGAATACTATATTCTTATTTGGTCCTAGCTGTCAAATATGTATGAGAAGATCATTATCTTTCTGAGTTAGGGAGCTTTATGTGTACTTGAAGTTGCACATGCATCTTTTAAGGTTTTTTGAATACTTCTTTTCTCTGTCACTGATCTACTGGGTGTGGCAATTTTGAAGTTCATCTTCTGGACTCCATACTGTGCAAGAGTTCATATGCCCTTTGAGTTAGGTTTAGTATCTAGCACTTGTATGGGTTTTTCTCATTATTGCTACAACAGCATCGCTGAGGCTTATTTCCCCTGAGACAAGTTCCTATGTGTGTGTGTGTGTGTGTGTGTGTGTGTGTGTGTGTGTGTTGGTGGTGGTGGTGGTGGGGGTATGTGCTTAGCTGAATGTTTGCAGTGTTTGTGGAGCTGCTTGGATGGTAAGCACAGAAAACAGTGTCTAATCTGTTAGGAGACAATTTCCCTCGAGAGAGATCAAGGGACTGTGCGTAAGACTGTGCATAAGGCAAGTAGGGCAAGTCACTGGTGATTGTTCCTGCTTTAGAGTTTTCTTCTTTGGACACTTTGAAAATGGAAGTACATAAAGTACATGCAAACACCAGCATGTGCACAGTTAAGCTACGTTCACACTGCAGGCGAAAGCGCATCCAATCCGACTTTTCTGACCC